AGACTTGACTTGGACTCTAGCTCAGAGACTTGTGAGCATCTCTGCTGTAAAGATTGAAAACATTTTTCCTCCTCCCGAGTGCCTCATCTTCTTAATCTCCTCACATAAATGATTCGATTTCGATGCCTTACGTTTCTTACCCACCGCAGAAACAACCACAGGTTCATCAATGCCGTCAAAATTATTTATTTTTTTTGTTTGTTTTTTTGATCGAAAAGTACAAAATAGATAAGAAAAACTAGGAAGCCGGGTGTATTTAAGGCGCTGCCGTTACTGTTTACATTGCGTGGAATGGTGCGTTGTGATTGGTTGAGAGCGGAAATATCGCATTCTGCAGAGAAGGGAGACTGGCGTTTGTCACGGTTTGGAAAGAAAGGGAGAAAACATGACAGAATAACACGGCGGATATCGCATTTTACTTAAAATTAAACATTGACTTTTCAATACCAACCAGATACAATACTGATTTTTGCAGTAACTAATTTTTTTTTTTTAAATGGCGTTTATCTCGTTTTGGAACCAAACTCTTCATATATTGAAAGTGGACAGTGATTTGTTCTGTCAAACTCAAAGTCTGACTCATACATATATACTTATATTATAAGTCTTCTAAAGTCACATGATGCTTTGTCAAGTATAGCACAGATTGCAGTAATAAACAGGAAGATAACCATGTTAATGTTGCAAAATTAATTATGAAGCAAATTCGATTTCAGTAAAGTAGCTCTACAGAAGACAACAGTTTCATTAGGGCTGGTTCACACAGAACACGTTCTTGCTTTGAAAACCACGAGACGCGTCTTTTAAAAGTTGAACTTATTTTAACTTGAGTGTCGCGTATTTAGAGCACTGTCATGCGCGAGACGCTGCAAAAGACATAAGACGTGAGCGCAGCGGTCAAACACGTCCATCTAGCGCATGTTTACAGAAAAAATAATGGAAAAGTAGCGCAGTAGAATGGAAAAATGCGTTCTGTGTGAACAGCCTCTTATTCAGCTCAAGTCGGATTTAATGTCGATTCAGTTCAGTTCAATAATAGTGTCAATGTTGCATTGGGGTCCATCAACTGTTTGGTTTCCGACATTCTTCAAAATATCTTGTTTTGTGTTCAACAGAAGAAAGAAACTCATACAGGTTTGAAATAATTTGAGAGTGAGTAAATGAGGACACAATTTTCTTTTTAAAGTGAACTATTCCTTTAAGAGTACTCTGTTTAATATGCTTTATACTACTTTTAAATCCATTCTGTTGAATCTGTAGAATGCCCCCCCCCCCCCCCCAATCAGCACAGGAAATGCTGCGTGTTTCCATCTGAGCATTTTTATTTCAGTTGTGCTTATATCTTGTTTATTTCCTCTACTCTGTACAGCAGGGTGTCCCGCTTTCTCTGACGGCGAACTTTGACCTGCGCGCTCACGTGGAGTCTCTGGGTCATAACGTGACAGGGTGCATGGGAGTTAATCTGTCTCCCCGGCGGTGTGGCGGCTTTCTAACCAAGCGCGGAGGTCGAGTGAAGACGTGGAGGAGGAGGTGGTTTATCTTTGATCTGGACCACCAAAGACTGGCATACTACACCGGTGAGGAAAAGAGAAGATATTACAACAATGCATCCATTAACACAAGATGGATGCATTTTCAGTGTTTTCCAGAGGGGGTTCATGAGCTGATGAAAAAAAGCTAATAATTATTAAATCCCAACGTTACATTATAATAAACAAATAGGGCTGCATTTGGAAATTTACATTCAGATTTGCATCAATTTCCAACAGTTCAGCATTTCACCAATATTCACCAAAATAAATGCTCAAGGATTTGACATTAAAAAAGAAACAAAATAATAAAAATATATATATTTTATCTGTTTACTTGCATGTGATATTTTTTTTTTTTTCATATTCATTTTTATGTAAGTTTTAGTAATTTTGATGTTTGTTTTTGAAATTGTATTAGTTGTTGTTATTTAGTTTTTATTCATTTTTATTTCAATTTTATTTTTTACTTATTTTAGTACATCAAGTTAAAGTAGATGAAAATGAGAAATGTTGCTTTGGCAACTAGCTGAAATAAAAGAAGATACATTTTATGTTTTATTTTATTTCAGTTATTGTTTGTTTTATTAGTAGTAACAATTTTTTGTATAGTTTTAGTTGACTATCATAACCCTGAATGTGACCTTTAACCGACATCAGAGAACCGTGAACATGCAAATTTGTACTTAAATTATTGAAATATTGACAATCTTGCAAGAAAAACATTTGACATCTCTACAGGGTTTGGCTGACAAAAAGTTTGGGAATCGTTGGATTAACACGTCACACTAAAAGTATTCCCAGTGTATAGTACACTTCAGCTGAAATCTGATGAATATCTGCTGCTTTCTCATTGAAATCTCAATGTTCTTTTCGTTGTTTTCTCAGAACTAGATGAGAAGAAACTCAAAGGGGTCATTTACTTTCAGGCCATCGAGGAGGTTTATTACGATCATCTACGAACAGCTACATCAGTGAGTTCATACGCCTCCTCATATGGAGGAAAAACTGACCCCAGACTGAAATGATAGACACAAAACTGCAACTCTAAAGGTCCTTGGACACGGAGTCTGAAATTATTGTCGAAATTTCCGCACGTTAAAAAATAAATACGACCTCATGTTTTGTCAATCACGTCCTCCGAAACTTTCGTCCGTCATCAAAAAATTCAGATCGGGTTCGATTTTCTGCGTTTTTCGCAACCGTAGCAAGCATTTTGAATGATGTTTTGACAAATCAGAGCCACCGAATCACAAATACGAAAAATTCGGACTCAGTGTACAAGGACCTTAACCTTAACTAATTGGCAGAGTAACCCATGGTCATATATTGTAAAACCACAGTTTCTGACACATTTCTGTATTTCCCATGCTGACTGTGTTTTTGTCATTCTCAGTCTCCACGGCCCAGTCTCACCTTCTGTGTGAAAACATACGAGCGGCTCTTTTTCCTCGTGGCCCACAGCGCCGAAGCCATGAGAATCTGGATGGATGTTATTGTGACTGCGACAGATGAACACAGCAGATACTGATGAACACTAGAAATGATGCTGAACAGATGATGAAGCCTGCAGATGAGATCGCTCAGGGACTTTAAGGGATGCCACAACACAAGATGAATATGAATGTTAGCGGAGCAGAGGACATTGGTATACGGTGTATGAACACTCATAAACAGACGATCCGTGCTGAAATTGACCTTCAGTGGGTTTGTGTTCTTCTGCCATCTGCTGTTACACTAACAGAGAACATCACACACCGCACTCATGTGTTATGTTTCTTACATATTATTTATTATTGTTACATATCAATTTTTGTCATGTTTTGCTATTGAAAGTTTGGGGTAAAAATCCTGCAAAAAGTGTTAATAAACATTTACATTCCAAACAATGTGTCAGGACCTTATGTGACCTTATAATAAAGCTGTTTCATCGACTACAAAACCAACAGCTCTTTGTTATTTTGTTTAAGGACTAGCCAAAGAAAAATAAAATACATAAATAAATAAATTTAAACCTAAAGGAAAAACAAGTTTGATTTGAAAAAATAATATGAAAATGCATCTTTTAATATGACTAAAATGGGGCTTATAAAATGTTTCAACAATAAAAAAAAGAGTCTTCAAATATATAGTTCACTTAAAATGAAACTTTTTGTTTAAATAAATAGAGCTAAAGGGAAAACTAGGTTTATATATATATATATATATATATATATATAAAATAAAAACCTAGTTTTCCCCTTAGCTCTATTTATTATATAGGCTATATCAAAATGCATCTTCACTTTTGAAAATATAAAATGTTACTATTTTAAATTTATTATCAATGTTGGAAACAGTTGTGCTGCTTAAATATTTTTTATAACCTGTAATACTTTTTTCAGAATTTTTTGATGAATCGAAAGTTAAAAAAGAACAGCATTTATTTAAAACATAAATCATTTGTGACAATATACACTAATGTTTAAAAGTTTGGGGTCAGAAATGTTTTCTTTTTTTGAAAGAAATGTATACTTTTACTCAGAAAGGATGTTAAATTGATAAAAAGTGATAGTAAAGATGTATGTTGATAGAAAAGATTTCTATTTCGAATAAATGCTGTTCTTTTTTTTAGCTTTTTATTCATCAAAGAATCCTGAAAAAAGTATCACAAGTTACAAAAAAAATATTAAGCAGCACAACTGTTTCCAACATTGATAATAAATCATCATATTAGAATGATTTCTGAAGGATCATGTGACACTGAAGACTGGAGTAACGATGCTGAAAATTCATCTTTGATAACGGAAATAAATTACATTTTAAAGTATATTAAAATACAAAACCATTATTTTAAATTGTAATAATATTTCACAAATATTACTGGGGGTTTTTTTCTATATTTTTGATCAAATAAATACAGGCTTGATGAGCATAAGAGATTTCTTTCAAAAACATTAAAAATAGTAATGTTTCCAGACTTGACCAGTACTGTATATTATAATATATATGCATATATATATTAGACTTAAAGGAAAAATAAGTTTGACAAAAAAATATCAAAATACATATTCTAATAAGATTAAGATGGAGGGGGCTTATAAAATGTTTCAACAAATTAAAATAAATCCTTGAAAATAGTTCACTTAAAATGAAACTTTTGTTCATGATTTACCCTTTTGTGCAACACAAAAAAGTTGTTATAATCAACTCGCGAGTCTTTTCCATGCAACAATAGTGACCGCAAGAAAAGTTCCATAAACGAGTCAATAAAGCATTTGCACTAAAAACACTCAAATGTATCGTGCGCTGTAATAATAAGTTAAATAAAAAAATCGCCATGTATGCAATCATGCCATGTCATCATGTGATTTTGTGTCGTTGTTTTTCAGAGAGAAGAATAAAACGATGATGATAAACGGAATGTTTATTTATGATCTGACTGAATCTTTTAAATCCGATTCGTTGATCGTTATAAGCGTTTGGCAGATTGAATCTCGGCTGCTTTCAGTTCTGCATCGATTATTAATTATAATATTTCTATCTGATGAAGATGAGGGTGACCAGCTCGCTGTATGTGGGCGATCTGGAGCCGGACGTGAATGAAGCCATGCTGTTCGAGCGCTTCGGATCTGTCGGTTCGGTTCAGTCAGTTCGAGTCTGTCGAGATAAAGTCACGTGCCGCTCGCTCGGATACGCCTATGTGAACTTCGAGGAAACAACTGATGGTGAGACGATTGAGAACATCACCATAACATTATTAATCAACTGACCAGTGTGATTTCATAAGTTTTCTGAGAAATATTTTTGTAACTTACCTAAGCAAAAAAAAAAAAAAGAAAAGAAAAGAAAAGAAAAAAGTCCTATGTGACATATGTCACTCCAGTGAATGTCAATTTCAGACCTAATTTTTTTTTTTTTAATTTAGTATTTTTTTCCCATGCCATTACATTGTTTAGAGCATAAGAAACAATATGTTATTCATATGTTATGCTATGTCTTCTGTAGTGGACACCAGGACTCTATTTTAAAAATAAAAAGGCATGAAATTACATATCTTTTTTAACCAAACTCAGTATAAAGATGATTCTCAACTATGTTATGAAAGATATAACGGAATGAATTGATTTAACTTACCATTATGCACTCAAATAAATTAAGCCTTTTAAGATTTACGCATTGAATAACCCTTATGACATGTATTTTAATTGAATAATTGATTTAGGATTGTTCAATTATTCAATTAAAAATATGTAAGGATTGTTCAGTTAAAAAAATCTTATTTTTTTTCCAATTAAATTTCTGAAGAAAAAAAAGTATCAGGATGAAGTGATTTTTTTCTTGAAACAAGAACAAATATCTGGCAATGGGGTCAGAAAAATAAACTTAATTCAAAGGGAAAGCAAGATTATTTTTCAGACCCGCATTGCCGGATATTTTTTCTCATTTTAAGCATAAACTCACTTCATTTTGATATCAAATATCTAAACAACCTTAAAATAATATACATTTATTTAATATGCAAAATGACATATAAGATAAGTCTTGTTTTCAAAAAAAAAAAAAGGGATTATATAAAAACAAATATCTACGGAAAAATAAACTTAATTCAAAGAGAAAACAAGATTATTTTTCTTAACCATGCACTGGCAGATTATTTTAAAAGCAAAAACATTAATTTTATACATCAAGCTTGCATGTTTTGTTCTTGTTCATCTCAAGTCAATTTATCGATTTAAGAATTTTTAGATATTTATACCTCTGACTAATTTTTTGCAGTGAATATGGGACAAGCTGTTACATTTCTGATTGACACTTGTTTATTGATTTGGGAGGAATCAATAAAAAAAAAGTATTTGAAAATCTGCACTTAAAATGATCCAATTATTCAAGAAATTCCTATTCACATTTGCTTCATTGTAACGTTGGATCTCCTTCGCATCGTAGCCGAACGAGCCTTGGATACCATGAACTTTGACCTCATGCAGGGCAAGCCAATGCGTCTAATGTGGTGTCAGCGAAACCCTTCCCTGAGGAAGAGTGGCGTGGGAAACGTCTTCATCAAGAACCTGCAGAAATCCATTGACAGCGAGGGCCTGTTTGACATCTTCTCGTCATTTGGAAACATCTTGTCCTGTAAAGTAAGTAACGTTCTCCACCTCCAGCTCTTATACGAGATAAATATCCAGCGCAGGAGAATCTGAAGCACGTTTCTTTTCATTAAGGTGTCTTGCGATGAAAACGGATCGAAGGGCTTTGGATATGTGCACTTTGAGACGCGTGAAGCTGCTGAAAAAGCCATCGAGAAATTAAACGGCATGTTGATCAACGAGCTGAAAGTGTAAGTCGTGACTAAACGCATCCATTTCATCATGTTGAGTCTTGTAAGGTTAAAGAGTAGGCCCTACCTGAAAAACTTAGGTAAAAGTACAGATACCTTACAGCAAAAATGACTGCAAGTTACAAGTCACCAATTCCAATACAACTTGACTTGAGTAAAGTATCTGATTTTAACAGTTAAGTATTTTACTCGTACTGTGAAATAAAAGATGCACTCGACACCTATAGACAAGGAGAGCAATCAGATGGTTCTTTTTTTTTTTTGTAAAGTTGAAATAAAACTGAAAACCTCAATATTGCAATAAATCAAGGAAACAGCCTTTTAAACGTCTACAACATCTCTCAGTTAAGCTCAAGAGCTCAAAAATGGCATAAGTAAACCCATATCATTCAAAAAGGCCTTCTATATAATGCTAATAAAATAATGTTAATTATAATTAAAGCCTAAAAAAGTCAATGCCTACATGCACTGGACGTCATGTCCTCATCTCAAATATGAAACTCCTCCAACTAGCTGATAATGCACTCACATTCGTGTAAAGTATTTTAGACGAGTTTGGGTGAACAAGGGAAAAGCACACAAGATATAGTACCTTCATTGCCCTGTAGATGGAGATAACGCTTCTTTTGAAACAAATAAACCTCAGATGAAATAGGTGCTATGCAAAATGTAGTTTGTAATTGCAATACTCATTACAAATGTGTGTTGGAGTAATGAGTACATATACTTATTCAAAAATGTAGTCGAGTAGAGAGTAAAAGTAAGTTATTCAGTCAATGTACAAAGTAGCTAAAAAGATACTGAAGTACACTTACATTTAGTTTCATTTGTCGCACTTTTAAGGTTCGTCGGCCACTTCAAATCGCAAAAGGAGCGCGAGGCTGAAATGCAGGAGAGAGCAAAAGAGTTCACAAACATTTACATCAAGAACTTTGGAGCTGATGTGGATTCCAAGACACTGACTGAGATATTCAGCAAATTCGGTGAGGATTTGTTTTATGGAAGTGTAGATGAAAAAAATGTATCTTGTTCTGTTGCGTCTTTGACACTTTTTTTTTAGGCCCAACCTTGAGCGTCCGGGTCATGACGGATGAGAGGGGAAACTCTCGAGGGTTTGGTTTTGTCAGCTTTGAGAAACACAATGATGCCAAGCAGGTGAGAGATGAAACAGAAGCCGAAAGAGTGTAATGAACCAGACGAGGGAAAAGAGTGATCTGTATGTTTGAGTGTTTGTTGATTTAAAACACTCCATCACAAGGCTATTTTATTCTTTCAACCAACAGCAAACCACATGCACATGATTATGAATATTATGGGCTGCAAAGGATCCTATTGGCAGCATTTGTCTGGTTCTGTGCTTTAAACTTCACAATTTTTAGACATCTATGCTACTTTTTTCAAATTTTGTCTCCTATTTAAACACAAGATCCCCATAAGTTGTGTCCCAAATGGCACTTAATGATGATGTTTTGTCGCCCTCCCTTTCTGCTACATAGTTCTATTTTATTGTTATTAATATGCTATTAGTGCTGTCAAATCGATTAATCGCATCTAACATAAACGTTTTTGTTTACATAATGTGTGTGTACTGTATATATTATTATATTTGTATATGTTATATATTTCTGTGTGTGTGTATATACTGTATACATACACATACTGTATATATAATATAGATATATATAAATATAATATATACACACACATATTATGTAAAAAAAAACATTTTGTTAGATATTAATATTAATTATAATTTTTTTTTAATTTGAGTTAATCTGTAGAATCTGCACTACATGGGTCTGTCCATTTAAAAATATATTTTGGATATACTCTCGCATGTGACCCCTGACCCTACAGAGGATAAGTGGTTTGATATTCTCAATAAAAAAAATAAAAATAAAAAAAACCTGGAGGGAGACAGAATCGTACTGGAACGGGACTGAATGACTACAAAATGTAAAGTTTGCGGGAAGAAATATAACTTATATCTGTTTTTTTTTTTTTTTTGCAAGTGAGAGTAAATACCTGGTCACATTTATTCTAAAACTACTATAACCGTCATGTTTTCAAAGCTCACACAATGCTGCACTTACTCATGATTTCTCTTAACATAGGGACAGGAGAGCTGTCAGTCAATAAATGAAAAAAAAAAGAAGTAACTTGTGTAAATTTCTTGCAAAAGAAACTCAGATATCTAAAAGTAATGCGTTACTTTACTAGTAATCTGATTACATAACTCAAGTTACTTGTAATGCATAACCCCTAACACTGATTATAAGTGGACCTCAGGGGGAGATAAATAAGAGAATTGTGTGATATAACCCCAAGGCCGTGGACGAGTTGAACAGGACGGAGCTGAACGGCAGACACATGTACGTGGGCCGAGCTCAGAAGAGAAGAGAACGTCAGGTGGAACTGAAGCGACGCTTTGAGCAGTTAAAACAGGAGCACATCATGCGCTATCAGGTACCAGTGACGCCTCTGAAACCTCACGCATTTATTACGCACATTAAAGGGCCATGCTTGCACACCAAGGAAGATTTATAGCGATAACTATGCTTTCACAATTGCTCTAATTCTAAGAGAGTAGGGAAGTGCACACTAGAGGGCTGCATTGGGATTGAGTCCCGCCGGGTCCCGCGGGACCCAACGCAAATCTCGCGGGAGCGGGCGGTTTGAACTTTGCTGCGGGCGGGAATGGGCGGACAAATAAAACCCCTGCGGGATTGGGAGGTAGCCTAACGACATGATGGAGATGTCAATGATGTGGAAAAGAACCTTAAACGAGGTATTTACAGCACAAAACCTGAGCAAGGCAAGTCTGACATTTACTATTCATCTTCCTGATCAGTGCGTCAGAATACATGCAGGCCAGGGAAACGAAACCAACAACCCCATGAATCTCTTTAACAATAGCAATACAAATACGCGTTTTTTTCCTGCGGGACGGGAGAAGACACAAAGTCAGTGCATCTCTATTATTGTGCGGGAATAAATTCTCCGAGTTTTGCGGGTGCGGGCGGGAGTGGACATACATATTGCGGGAGCGGGCGGGAGTGTAACACATACGTTGCGGGAGTGGGCGGTAATGGTCAAAAATTCGGCGGGCGCGGGCGGGAGCGGGATGAAGAAAACAGTCCCGCGCAGGACTCTAGTGCACACCATGACTCTAACAATAATGTCACAGAAGAACGAAATTGTTGTTGGAATCACTTTCAGAACGATTTTTTTCAGTTGATAAACGATAAAAACATTTACAGCCAATCAGAATCCACCTTTAAAGAAATTCAGCATTTAAAGTGGCAGACAACAAAACTGCAGCGCGTGCTTATAATAAACACGTTATCATCCGCTGGTGTGGACACTAATATAGTTATTGTTATGGTTATAGTTATTGTTAAAGGTGCATTGCGCAACATTTAGTGTTAAAAATACCCGTTTTTCTAACCCATACATGCTTAAACAATTGCCTGATGGGCTGAATGAGCCCTTCTCTGATCACTGAGATTGCCTCTATAATCCTGTAGAGTAAAATAAATAATAGGGATTAGGGACGGAACGTGAGCCTTTGGTTACTTATGAACAGCTCGTGAAAGCGTGCGTATGCGTGTGGTCCATGAGCGTGCACACCTCTGGTTGCAGTTTCGCTTGTCGCCTGAGGGGGGCATAGTTCTGCAAAAACTCAGAGACTTGCGCAATGCACCTTTAAAATAATGATTATTACAGTTAGTGTTATAGATAGCTTTATAGTTATTGTTGTATTTATGGTTATAGTTATCATTATGTTTATTGTTAATAATCGTTATAATCATTGTTGGTTATCATTATAGTTATGATTAGAGTTATCATTATAGTTTATTGTAAAGTTATAATTATAGTTAGTTAGTTATTGCTATAGTTATTGTTGTATTTATTATAGTTATCTTTGGGTATTATAGTTATTGTTAGAGTTAGCATTAGAGTAATCGTTATAGTTCTTAGATTTATCATAGTTTTTGTTAAAGTTATCATTATAGTAGGCTAATAGTATTGTTATAGCAATCATTATAGTTATTGTTAAAGTTATAATTATAGTTATCAGTAGTTATCCTTTTATTTATTGTTAAAGTTATCATTAGATTAATCATTATAGTTAATGTTATAGTTATTGTTAAAGCAATTATAGTTATCATATGCTGGTGTGGATACCATACCAATATAGTTATCATTCTAGTTAGGTATCATCATTATAGTTATTGTTAAGTTTTAGTTATCGTTATCATTATTGTTATCATTATAGTTAACATTACAGTTCGTATTATAGTTGTCGGTCTTGTGAATGGGTCTTAACACGCTTTGATCATCCTGACAGGGAGTGAATCTGTACATCAAGAACCTGAGCGACAGCGTAGACAGCGATCTTCTCCTCAAAGAGTTCTCGCCATACGGGAACATCACCAGCGCTAAGGTAGGAATTCATTTTTCATCATAAAGAAATAGTAAATGCAAATAAAACAGCAGCCAAAGATCCAGGATTGTGTTTTTTTTTTCCATTCAGGTGATGACAGACGGCGGCCGCAGTCAAGGCTTCGGGTTCGTTTGCTTCTCCTGTCCTGAGGAGGCCACCAGAGCCATTACTGAGATGAACTGCCGCATCATCGACTCCAAGCCCATATACGTCTCTCTCGCCCAGAGGAAGAAGGAGCGGCAGGCCCACCTCATCCACCAATACATGATGAGAAGGGCAAGCTTCCATAGACAGCAGCTGCAGCCGTTCGACACCAATCCACACGCTGAGCACTTCTTACCCTCACAGGTCGAGATTCACATCAAATACTCTCATCGTAATAGTGTGGAGAAAAGCACATGTGACGGGCTTTATTACATGCTTGATCCGTATGTTTCACAGGATCAGAATCACTCTTCATACCACATCACCCAACCTCAACCCGGCACTCAGTGGGACGCACAGAACATCAGCCCTCAGTGTGAGCAGATAACACACAACATGCTTTATTTAGATCAGGGTTTCCCAAACTGGGGTTCTTGAGCGGATCGTACAAATGTAAAACCAAAAAAAATCTAAATAAAACACAAAAATGTATTAAATCATAAAATAAAAAAATAAAGATAACTTAAACCATTCAAATTAAAACTCTTACTAAAATGAAAAGTACACTGCGTAACTTTTTTTTGGTTCAAAATTAACTAAATTTAAATAATAATTTAATAATCACTTTTAATTTAATCATACAAATTAAAAAAATTAAATGAATAGATAATTTGAAATAAAAACAATCAAAATAAAAACACTAGTACACAATTTTATGTATATACATGCATGTCATTTCAGCATTATCCAATGTCAGAGAGCTGTAAACATGTGATTTTTTTTATATTAACTTAAAATCTTAAACCGCCCAACTCGGACACTTATTCCAGAGCTTTCCAGTGGTAAATAGGACTAGATATGGCGTTCATGTCCAATTTTAAATTAGGAAACTCATATTTATGATAATGCCAATAGCATATTAGAGAGAAAACACATAAAGTGACCAGGGTAGGGTTGCAACACCAACCATTCACACCACTTAAATTGGAACGTAAAGGCCACTCTAGAGTCTTAGTAACTACTAGCTAGTTTGTAACTAACTCTGTACTTTATTCTATTGCACCATTTGTTCTTAATGCAGAACGTAGCTAAGTAGGTCGTAAGCTCTCCGTAAAGTAATGCGTAGTTGCAAAATATGACATTTACCCTAAATGATCCTCAATTACCCTTCAAATACCCTTCAAATACCCTCCAAATAAGTGAGCAAAAGTTGTTTAAATGCTGTGAATTTCAGTTTATCCTTCACTCTAACCTCTTTTGCCTCACGTAACTAACGGTAAATATAAGTTTCCATTAAATACAATACTACTTAATCATAAGTAGGCATTTTTATATGTAAATAACATTCGGAAACTGTATTTGAAATTAATAAAGATCAATAAATCAATACAGACATGAGGAATTACCTTTATTTGTTACATTTAGGTCATGTTGAAGAGCCTCTTACAAAGTAATCTATTCACATAATGTTCTCTCTCTTAAAATGTAAGCAAGTGTAAATGTCAGCATTGTATGTGTCTAGAAAACTGAAGTCTGTCAGGTAAAACAAGAGCTTATTGATGCTGTTCTGTCAGTCTACTATTTATTCCAACCGTTTCTCCTGATCAGAGGCTTCCATAATAACTATATAGTTTATTATGTGTAAAGTTACGCTTCAACAAAGTTTTATGATGCAACCCAAATAATATTTAGTAGTGCGTAAGTGTCCATTTACATCAAAACAAGGCTATTTTGTAGCTGACGGCACAGCTGGTGCAATCACCCCTGCTGTAAACACCCATTAAAGTTCTTGGAGTCTTTACTAATGAGCTGATGACTTGAATCAGGTGTGTTTGATTAGGGAGACATCTCAAATGTGCAGTGCTAGGGGTCCTTCCCTTCAGGACCAGTGAGCTAGAGCTTCTGATGGATTTCTTTATCATCTGTCTTCCTCACAGCCAGTCTCACTCACTGGACGCCCAGCACAGCTGCAGTGAACGGAGAACTGCAACACACGTACACACCTGTAGATAACAACCATCACGAGTTCACAAGCGCACCGCAGGAGCAATGGGCTGTGCAACAGGTGCACGTCATCTCACTAAACGAGTCGCTTAAAAAAAGCGATATATAAATGATTCATTCACTCACTCAGTCTTTCACTCACTCAGTCTTTCACTCACTCACTCACTCTTTCACTCACTCACTCTTCCACTCACTCACTCACTCTTTCACTCACTCACTCACTCTTTCACTCACTCACTCACTCTTTCATTTACTCACTCACTCACTCTTTCACTCACTCATTCACTCACTCTTTCACTCACTCACTCACTCTTTCACTCACTCACTCACTCTTTCACTCACTCACTCACTCTTTCACTCACTCACTCTTTCACTCACTCACTCACTCTTTCACTCACTCACTCTTTCACTCACTCTTTCACTCACTCACTCTTTCACTCACTCTTTCACTCACTCACTCACTCACTCACTCTTTCACTCACTCACTCTTTCTCTCACTCACTCTTTCTCTCACTCACTCACTCACTCACTCTTTCATTTACTCTTTCATTCACTCACTCTTTCATTTACTCACTCTTTCATTCACTCACTCTTTCACTCACTCACTCTTTCTCTCACTCACTCACTTTCTCACTCACTCACTCTTTCACTCACTCACTCTTTCTCTCACTCACTCTTTCACTCACTCACTCTTTCTCTCACTCACTCTTTCTCTCACTCACTCACTCACTCACTCTTTCATTTACTCACTCTTTCACTCACTCACTCACTCACTCACTCACTCTTTCACTCACTCACTCACTCACTCACTTTCACTCACTCTTTCACTCACTCACTCACTCACTCTTTCATTTACTCTTTCATTCACTCACTCTTTCATTTACTCACTCTTTCATTCACTCACTCTTTCACTCACTCACTCACTTTCTCACTCACTCACTCTTTCACTCACTCACTCTTTCTCTCACTCACTCTTTCTCTCACTCACTCACTCTTTCATTTACTCACTCTTTCATTCACTCACTCTTTCTCTCACTCACTCACTTTCTCACTCACTCTTTCACTCACTTTCTCACTCACTCTTTCACTCACTCACTCACTCACTCTTTCACTCACTCACTCACTCACTCACTCACTCACTCACTCACTCACTCATTCACTCACTCACTCACTCTTTCACTCACTCACTCACTCACTCTTTCACTCACTCACTCACTCTTTCACTCACTTACTCTCTCACTCACTCTCATAAAATAAATAAATATTTTTTTTAAACGCAAGCCATCAAAATAAAACATTTACTAAAAATAAAATTAAAAGAAACTTTTATTTTTATTTTTTATTAAAACTTATTGTGCATGTTCTCGTCCACATTAAGGTCCAGGAGTCTCTGACCATGTCCAGCTCCCCGGAAAACCTCAAACAGATTCTGAGCAAGTTTATTTTTGTTTTATTGTGGCTTTTCTATCTTTTCAAAGTCTTGTTTGATTTGTGTCCATGTGTTTTGAGCACATATCTCCATTCTTCCCCAGTTCACAGCCTCTTCCCACTCGTCCAGGACATGGTAGGGCCCTTGGCGAATACGATCACTGAAATGCTGTTAGAGATTGATGAATCTGAACTGATTCAGTTGCTGCACTGCTATGAATCTTTGTGCATGAAGGTTTGTTCCCGTTAGTTTGGCTTTGGTTGCTTTGATGTATGATTTGTTTCTGTAGTGTGTAATTCTTGTGTGTGTTCAGGTGAATGAAGCACTTGCTGTTTATCAATCTTATCAGCCAATGGACGCGACACCGATGTCCTTCACCAGCCCTGTTATTCTCACTGCCTGAGACAGATATCAATGCAATGACCACAGCGTGTTTATTCATTTTAAAAATGAATCTGCATTTAAATTTTTGTAATGTTTCTTTTAATAAATTTAACAATTTAATGTCAATTAAAAAATATTGTTCTGCAACAATATAAATAAATATATTTGCATTTCTTTCAATGTCAATTAAAAAATGTGTCATGCAACAATATAAATAAATATTTTTGCAGGTTTGTTCGTTTTTCCAATTGGTGTTTAAAATACCAATGCTACATTTAATTTTCCACATTAAAATCAAAGTTGAGTCAATGCAGATGTAACCTGTATGACAAGTGTCAAATAATAAAGATTATGAATATATTGCAATTTAGCAATTGAAAAATAGAAAAGCTAACAGATAAGCATGTCATAAATGAGCTGGGGGTTTTTTATTGAAAGAAAGGAGCTAAAAACAAGGAGGCAAGAAGCATAAAGATATTTTGGTAAATTGATATGACATTTAAATGTTCACCCAAAAATAATTAAAATTCTGTCCTCATTTATTTACCATTAATTTGTTCTAAACCTGTATGAGTTTATTTCTTCTGTTCAACTATCCCTTTTTAATGCATTTGGCATGACTGCTTCATGACTGGACACATTCCCTGGGAAACAAACACATGACCTTGACATTCACCTCTTATTTATGGACACCCATTTTGGTCACATAAGAAAAAGAAAATTATGCTTTAGTAAATGGTAATTATGAACAAAATTATAACATAGTACCTCATGATTATAAGATGAAAAGTAGAAATTAAGTCATAATTATTACAAAAAGTCTAAATTATGACAAAAACCCTCGATTTCACAGACAAGGCTTCAGCCTAGTCACCGAGTAAAATGCATGTTTGAGCTGTTCTAACTTAAAGTAACTTGCGCCGACATATTTTAAAATATATTAGTGCCATTGTTTTGTCTCAAGATGCACACCAGTAACTTTTTTTTTATGTGGCATGTTTATAAAAGCTACTTAAATGTCCTAATTGAACTAAAGCCTAATCCTGTCTTAATCTAAATCATGTCTGTGAAACCAGGCCATAAGTTCATAATTATGACATTAAATAGGCCTAATAATTGAGATTTTTTAATCATAATTGAGATTTTTTTAAATCTCATAATTATGATTTAGTGTCATAGTATGACATCATTTCGACGTTATCTCATCATGCCCATATTTTATGTTATAACTATGACTTTTTTATGTCATAATTAAGATTTAGCAAAGCATGATTTTTTTTCTAATGTGGCGGAAATGTGCTTCAATACACTTTTATTCTATCAGGCCATTGACTCTTATTTTGCTCTTACGTAAAAAATATAAAAGAAGCTCACGCAACTTCCGGCGAGGACGCCTTCTTATCTGAGCCGTACTTCCGCTTCTCTCCCCCTACCTTGTGCGGTGCGAGAGAGAGCGCGTGTGCCACAGAGCCTCGGCACACTCATCTTATATAAAAAATCAAAAATACAAAAAAAAATCACAAAACAAGAAAAAAATACAAACAAAAAATCTACTTTTATTGCCGAGTACCTCGGTGAAGCAGGATCAGCGGACAGATTTGAGAAGTTTATTATTAAGGCAGCACCGCAGTAGGCCTGAGGAGATTTTAATCATCTTATCATCGATACCGCGAACACGTCGACGCCAAATCGGTACCAAACGCGTTTTAATTAGTCTCCAAGACTGTTCTTTAAGGGTATTTATCGTGTTAAAGCGTTTTCGATAGGTAAGTTAAACCGAGGAGATTGGAGCTCGTGCGTCGCCATTACTAAGCTCGTCAGTTTTTCCAGGTGTTTCGGTAGATCGCTCTTTTGTCGTACGGAAGAAAGATGAACCCTAGCGCTCCAAGTTACCCTATGGCCTCCCTGTATGTGGGTGATTTGCACCAGGATGTCACCGAGGCCATGCTTTACGAGAAGTTCAGCCCTGCCGGGCCCATTCTGTCCATTCGGGTGTGCAGGGACATGATGACCCGCCGCTCTCTCGGTTACGCCTACGTCAACTTCCAGCAACCCGCTGACGGTAAGCTAACGCTCCCGGTTCATTTCTAACACGATGTTTTAAATTGCATTTAGATGTCCAGCTAGTTGGGAATCACGGACACGTGCAGCACGTGACCGTCCTCCGGTTCACATTTTAAGTTCAATGTTTATTAACGATTCTTACACGTTTGTATTAGGACTAATGAATGTCGTAGTTGCCGTTTCTGCGGCCAAGAGAAGTAACGTTATCTTATCCCAGGACATTAACGTTAACCTCACGAACAGACATCCCCACATTTGTGTTTTACGAATCATGTCCTTGTACATATTTTGTTGTGTGTACCGGAAGCTTCAAGACAAATGCAATGTGTAATGAATCTCATTCTGATTCTATAAAAAAAAAAAAACTTGTATGTGTGGTTTGAAATATGGATTTGGTCCCTGTATTCATAATTCAATTTAATGACGACACAACCAATGTAGAAAATTGGTGAAATGAGTAGGCTACTTGTTGTACACATGATGTACTCTGACTAGCGCTAGAGGGCGCTACACAACCCATGTTAGTAAGTCCAAAATACATATAGATGTATGTTTATAGAACCAGCAGTCTAGCAATAATTGTTTATGTTGACTTTTGCTGTTAAAGTTTGTTGGTCATAACTTAATGCTAATATTTTAATGTATTTTAATGAACTGTTTCAGCTGAGCGTGCCTTGGACACAATGAACTTTGACGTGATTAAGGGACGACCCGTCCGCATCATGTGGTCCCAGCGAGACCCCTCACTGCGCAAGAGTGGTGTGGGCAACATCTTCATCAAGAACTTGGACAAGTCCATCGACAACAAGGCCCTTTATGACACATTCTCTGCCTTCGGAAACATCCTGTCCTGCAAGGTAATAAACGTGTGTTTGCGGTGATGTGCATGTTTCTGGTGTTTGGTGCTTGTGCTCAGTGCTGGTGTTCTCTTCCTGAAGGTGGTTTGCGATGAGAACGGCTCTAAAGGATACGGCTTTGTACACTTTGAGACCCATGAGGCCGCAGAAAGAGCCATTGAGAAAATGAACGGCATGTTGCTCAATGACCGCAAAGTGTAAGTGTGCATTTGAATTAACTACATTGTACTAAATTGTTGGTTTGGAGTGTGCTAATTCTGTTTCAAGCATGATTCATACTAATTTAAGAAAACATTTTTTAGTTACTTGAAGATATTAGTATTTATCATGTAAAATTAAAAGGTTTTATAACTGTTCATTGAAGTATTAGTGTTATGGTTATTTAAAAACGTATTACTCTTGAGTTTGTCATGAATATAGCCTTATAGTCTTAAATAAATTCACATATTCAGGATAATTATGGTAACTTATTGCATCTTAAAGGTTCGTCGGTCGCTTCAAGTCTCGCAAGGAGCGCGAGGCTGAGATGGGCGCCCGTGCCAAAGAGTTCACCAATGTTTACATCAAGAACTTCGGAGAGGATATGGATGACGAGAAGCTGAGGGAGATATTCAACAAATATGGTGGGTATTTTGCTGCTAATAAAAGCCTGTTCACTCCAAGAATGATAGCTATAAAGATTATAACTATATTAGCATCAACAATGTCGATCTGTGTATGAGGGTGCGCTGTCGTCTATAAAGCGGGATGGATTCTGATTGGCTGTCAATGTTTTTATTGTTCATCAGCTGGGAGAAAAGTAGTTCTTAAAGTGATTTCAATGACTTTGTTTCTCTCTGGAGTTATATTTGTAGTTGTGGACTCTGTTGTTTTATATTTAGAATGATTTTACAACTGCATCTTTATGATTATAGTTATTGTCCTTTGTGTACATGGGCCTGCTTTTGACCTTATTGCACGAATCAGATCTTTGAAGTGTTCGGCTGTCATTACAGGTCCAGCACTGAGCATTCGCGTCATGACCGATGAGAGCGGCAAATCTAAAGGCTTTGGCTTTGTCAGCTTTGAGAGGCACGAGGATGCCCAGAGGGTGAGTAGAAACAGATTAATATCATTTTGTAATCCTCACTACTGTGACAAAGTGTTGTATCCTGATGCGTTTCCTCTGATCATCAGGCTGTGGATGAGATGAATGGAAAAGAGATGAACGGAAAGCAGGTTTACGTGGGCCGTGCGCAGAAGAAGGGCGAACGCCAGACAGAGCTCAAGCGCAAGTTTGAGCAAATGAAGCAGGACCGCATGACTCGCTACCAGGTAAAAAATGACCCGTGTTTGGCTGATATGAACATTTAGATGATGCAAATGAGGGTGGTGAAGTTTTTAATGGGTCATTGATGCTTGTCCTTGAACTTTGAATTCATCTTGTTTTTAACAGGGAGTAAATCTCTACGTGAAAAATCTGGATGACGGCTTGGATGACGAACGCCTGCGTAAAGAATTCGCACCATTCGGCACCATTACCAGTGCTAAGGTACAAACAAATCCAATAAATTGCCATAAGCTTTATTACTTTTAAAGTCTCCACTTTCAATTTGTCAATTTTAAATTGAATCATGAAATCTGTCTCAAATCATTGGTTTTCCTGGAGGTTTGTTTGGATGATTGACGTAAATTCCCTCACAAGCATCAGAATTGATGGCTGTTGTATCTTTTGTGATCCACTCAGGTGATGATGGAAGGTGGCCGCAGTAAGGGTTTTGGGTTCGTCTGCTTCTCTTCCCCTGAAGAAGCCACTAAGGCTGTGACTGAAATGAATGGCCGTATCGTCGCCACCAAGCCCTTGTACGTCGCGCTGGCCCAGCGGAAAGAAGAGCGCCAGGCTCACCTCACCAGCCAATACATGCAGAGGATGGCCAGTGTCAGAGCCGTACCGAACCCCGTCATCAACCCCTACCAGCCCGCACCACCATCTGGATACTTCATGGCAGCCATTCCACAGGTCAGATAACACTCTTCTATTAAAGGTGTGGTCACATTCACCATTGTTCAAATAAATTGACAGCAACTGTTCGAGTTGGTCATTAGAATTTGCCATGTTGACCAATGAAAAGCTGCTTGGTTAGAAAGCATGAACTGCGAATTCAAATTTTGTTCAGCTATAAAGCAGCTCTACCGAAAAAAATTGTCATTATTCAGCCCAATTCATTTCAAGTTTTGTTTTCAATAAATAGTGTCAGTGCAGTTATAAATTCTGTGGTTGGTGGAAACCATAATGTACATTTTG